ACTGGTCTGATCTCCTTGCAGTACAAGGGACTCTCAAGAGTCTTATCCAATACCACAGTTCAAAAGCATCAATTCTTCAGTGCTCAGCTTTCTTTATGGTCCAACTCTCACATCCATACATGACTGCTGGAAAAACCATAGCTTTGACTACATGGACCTTTGTTGGCAAAGTATTATCTCTGCTTTTTAATATGCTGTTTAGGTTGGTCATTGCTTTTCTTCAAAGGAACAAGCACCTTTTAATTTTTCAGCTGCAGTCACCATTTGCAGTGATTTTGGAGCCCCCCTGAAAAAAGTCTCTCACTATTTCCATTGTTTTCCCATCTATTTGAAATGAAGTGATGGGGCCAGATGCCATGATCTTAGTTTTCTGAATGTTGAGTTTTTCTGAATGTAGAAATAACACCAGAAAGAATGAAGAGACGGAGCCAAAGCGAAACAATACCCAGTTGTGGAAGTAACTGGTGATGGAAGTAAAGTCCAATGCTGTAAAGAGCAGTATTGCATAGGAACCTGGAATGTTTGGTCCGTGAATCAAGGTAAATTAGAAGTGGTCAAACAGGAGATGGCAAGTGTGAACATTGACATTTTAGGAATCAATGAACTAAAATGTACTAGAATGGACAAATATAACTCAGTTATAACAAATATAACTCTTGCCTACTACAGTGGGCAAGAATCCCTTAGAAGAAATGGAGTAGCCCTCACGGTCAACAAGAGAGCCCGAAATTCAGTACTTGGGTGCAATCTCAAGAACAACAGAATGATCTCTGTTTCCAAGGCAAAACCATTCAGTGTCACAGTAATCCAAGTCTATGCCCCAACCACTAATGCTGAAGAAGCTGAAGTTGAACAGTTCAATGAAGACCTACAAGACCTTCTAGAACTAACACTCAAAAAAGATATCCTTTTCATTATAGGGGACTGGCATGCAAAACTAGGAAGTCAAGAGATACCTGGAGTAACAGGCAAATTTTGCCTTGGAATACAGAATGAAGCAGGGCAAAGGCTAACAGAGTTTTGCCAAGAGAACGCACTGGTCATAGCAAACACCCTCTTCCATCAACACAAGAGAAGACCCTACACATGGACATCACAAGACCCACACCAAAATCAGATTGATTATATTCTTTGCAGCCAAAGATGGAGAAGCTCTATACAGTCAGCAAAAACAAGACTGGGAGCTGACTGTGGCTCAGATCATGAGCGCTTTATTGCCAAATTCAGACTTAAATTGAAGAAAGTACAGAAGACCGCTTGACCATTCGGGTATGATCTAAATCAAGTCTCTTACAATTATACAGTGGAAGAGACAAATAAATTCAAGGAATTAGATCTGATAGACAGAATGCCTGAAGAACTATGGATGGAGTTTCATGACATTGTACAGGAGGCAGTGACCAAGATCATCCCCAAGAAAAAGAAATGCAAGAAGGCAAAATGGTTGTCTGAGGAGGTCTTACAAATAGTTGAGAAAAGAAGAGAAGCCAAAGGTAAAGGAGAAAAGGAAAGCTATTCCCATTTGAATGCAGAGTTCCAAAGAATAGCAAGGAGAGATAAAGTGATCAGTGATCACTTTGCACTCAGTGATCAGTGCAAAGAAATAGAGGAAAACAATAGAATGGGAAAGACTAGAGATCTCTTCAAGAAAATTAGAGATACCAAGGAAACATTTCATGCAAAGATGGGCACAATAAAGGACAGAAATGATATGGGCCTAACAGAAGCAGAAGATATTAAGAAGAAGCAGCAAGAATACCCAGAAGAGCTATACAAAAAAGATCTTCATGACCCAGATAACCACAATGGTGTGATCACTCATGTAGAGACGGACATTTTGGAATGTGAAGTCAAGTGGACCTTAGGAAGCATCACTACAAACAAAGCTAGTAGAGGTGATGGAATTCCAGTTGAGCTATTTCATATCAGAAAAGATAATGCTGTGAAAGTGCTGCATTCAATATGCCAGCAAATTTGGAAAACTCAGAACTGGCTCCAGGACTGGGAAAGGTCAGTTTTCATTTCAGTCCCACAGAAAGGCAATGCCAAAGAATGCTCAAACTACTGCACAGTTGTACTCAGTTCAGTCCAGTTGCTCAGTTGTGTCCGACTCCTTGCAACCCCTTGGCGTGCAGCACACCGGGCTTCCCTGTCCATCACCAGCTCCAGGAGCTTGCTCACACTCATATCCATTGAGTTGATGATGCCATCCAAACATTTCATCCTCTGTCCTCCCCTTCTCCCACCTTCAATCTTCCCACTATTGGGATCTTTTCCAATGAGTCAGTTCTTCACTCTCATCTCACATGCTAGCAAAGTAATGTTCAAAATTCTCCAAGCCAGGCTTCAACAGTATGTGAACTGTAAACTTCCAGATGTTCAAGCTGGATTTAGAAAAAGCAGAGAGGAACCAGAGATCAAATTTCCAACATTTGTTGGATCATTGAAAAAGCAAGAGAGTTCCAGAAAAAGTTACATATATTCAGTTACATCTATATTCTTTTTCAGGTTCGTTTCCATTATTGATTATTATGATATTTTGAATATAGTTCCCAGTGCTGTTTTTCTTTTTTATATTGAGTAGTGTATATCTGTTAATTCTGGACTCTTAATTTACCCCTCTCCCTCCCCTTTCCCCTTTGATAAACATAGTTTTGTTTTCTATGCCTATGAGTCTCTGTTTTGGATATAAGTTCATTTATATCATAGTTTTAGATTCCAAATGAAAGTGATATTATAATATTTGTCTTTCTTTGACTTACTCCATTAGTATGGACCTACTAGTAGGTCCATCCATATGGCTATAAAAGGCATTATTTCATTCTTTTTTATGACTGAGTAATATTCCATTGTATACATATCCCACATCTTCTTTATCCTTTCATCTGTCAGTGGACATTTAGGCTACTTCCATATCTTGGCTATTGTAAATAGTGCTGCAGTGAACATTAGGGTGCATGTAGCTTTTCAAATTAGAGTTTTTGTCTTTTCCTGATATTTGCCCAAGGATGGGATTGCTAGATCATATGGTAACTCTGTTTTTAGTTCTTTAAGGAACCTCTTTACTGTTCTCCATCTTGCCTGTAACAATTTGCATTCCTACCAACAGTTTAGGAGGGTTCCCTTTTCTCCACACCCTCTCCAGCATTTATTGTTTGTAGACTTTTTGATGATGGTTATTCTGGTTGGTGTGAAGTGAGTAATACTTCGTTGTCGTTTTGATTTGTATTTCTCTAATGATTAGTGATGTTGAGTGTTCTTTCTCGTGCCTGTTGGCCATCTGTATGTCTTCTTTGGAGAAATGTCTATTTTGATCTTCTGCCCATTTTTTAATTGGGTTGTTTTTTTGATATTGAACTATGTGAGCTGTTTGTATATTTTGTAAATTAATCCCTTGTCAGTCACATTGTGAATATATTCTCTCATTGTGTAAGTTGTCTTTTCATTTTCTTTCTGGCTTCCTTTGCTGTGTAAAAGTTTTTAAGTTTGATTAGGTTCCATTTGTTTATTTTTGCTTTTATTTTCATTAGTCTAGGAAGCAGATCCAAAAAAATGTTGCTGCAACTCATGTCAAAAAGTATTCTGCCAATGTTTTCTTTTCCTCCAGGAGTTTGAGAGTTACATGGTCTTACAATTAGGTCTCTAATCCATTTTGAGTTTATTTTTGTATATGATGTTGAAGAATGGTTTAATTTTATTCCTTTACATATAACTGGCCAGTCTTCAGAGAAACACTTGCTGCAGAGACTGTGTTTTCTCTATTGTGTATCCTTGCCTCCTTTGTTGTAGATTAATTAACCATAAGTGTGTGGGTTTATTTCTAGGCTTTCTGTTCTGTTCCTTTGATTTATGTGTCTGTTTTTGTACCAGTACAATACTAAAACATGTAAAATTTGAAAGGAGATATAAGCATTTAATCTCAAGTACTGTTTCAACAAAGAGAGAGAAATTTATTTTTTATTTTTGGTAGTTATATTGTCGTGATTAAGAACATAAGCTTTGGGCAAATTCCCTGGCAGTCCAGTGGTTGGGACTTTATGCTTTCATGGGTAAAGGCCTGGGTTCCACCCCTGGTTAGAGAACTAGGGTCCCACGAGCCATGGTGTGGCCAAGAAAAAAAAGAGCATAAGCTTTGGAATCTGACCTACGCTTGAATCCGCACCTTTCTGCTTATTGAACCTGTGAGCTTAGATGATAATTTACATTTCTGTTTTTAAAAATAATTTCGTTTATTTATTTATTTATTATGTCTGAGCCGGGTCTTCATTACTGCATGGGCTTTTCTCTAGTTGCAGAGAGCTGGGGCTACTCTCTAGTTGTGGTGTGTAGGCTTCTCATTGCGGTGGCTTCTGTTGTTGTGGAGCATGGGGTCCAGGCCAGATGGATTTCAGTAGTTGCAGCACAAAGGTCCAGTTGTTGTGGCTCCCCAGGCTCTAGGGACCAGGGTCAGTAGTTGTGGCTTGTGGGTTTAGTTGCTCTGAGGCATGTGGGATCTTCCTGGATCAGGGATTGAACCCATGTCTCCTGCAATGGCAGGTGGATTCTTTACCACTGAGCCACCAGGGGAACCCCTATACTTAACGTTCTGAACCTTCATTTTTCTTGTCTGTAAAGAAGGAACAATACCTGCCTCATAATGTTATTCTATTACATTGAAATAATATATATAAGACATTTAATTAGATGTGCTCAGTATATTGCTGGCACTCAGTATATGTTTATTATATTATTGTTGAAATACCATTAAGATAGAATGAGGTATTTGAAAATCTCCTTGCAAATAAATGGGAAACATTTTTGTGGAATCCTATGTATAGTTGTCAACTTGGCATGAAATGCCTTTTTTTTTTTAATTGCTGATTCAAAAGTGGACTTTATCTCATCTTGGGATGAACTATCAACTTCTCTATTAGTGAACTTATAACTAATGAAATTTTCTTGCAGAGAATGGAGTGAGCAGATGCTAATTCTAAGTTTCTTATATAAAATTTATTTTCCAGGAGAATGCATAGAAGGGCTGCGGGAAAATGACTACCTTCTGATTCACTCGTGCCGTCAGTGGACCACCATCACTGCCCATAGCTTGGAGGAGGGGCACTATGTCATTGGGCCAAAGATAGAGATTCCGGTACATTATGCAGGTAAAGCTCCTCTCAAGGGACAGGGCCAAGGAAGCGTACTTGAATATGCTAATTTTCTCCTCCACAGTGAGAAAGTAGGAGTTGTTGATAAACAAGAGGATATAATGACTTGGACAAAGAAGATTGAAACACTTTGGTAATCAGATTCATTTTGTCATAGGAATTTCTAATTAATGCATGTAGTTAAGCACGAATTCTTTTTTTTTTTTTTTCTTTAATGATCTTGTGCATTTTTTTAACTTTCTATTTACTGGAAAGTATAGCCAATTAACAATGTTGTGAAAGTTTCAGGTAGACTGCAAAGGGACTCCACCATACATGTACATGTGTGCATTCTCCCCCAGACTCCCCTCCTGTCCAGGCTGCTGCATAACATTGAGCAGAGTTCCCTGTTAAGCACAGATTCTTCTTAGAGATTCATAAAATGAAAATGTTAACAAATATCATCTCTGTAATGGCAGTCCGTATGTGTAGGCAGCCTCTGAGCACGAGAATCTCTGAATTAACCTGAGCACAATTTGTGAATGACATTGATTTCATGGTTTTACGAGATACCATTGCACAAACAAGCATTATGGTCTGGTTTTAAAAGTATTGAATTGAAAAGTCAGATGCCTGCACACGTCCCTCTGCAAAGGAGCGTTTAGAACACAGGCATCAGAGGTGACCTCACTGCTTTAGTTGAATTAGGATAGTACCTACTTTCCTGCCTCACTTGAGGAGTTCCATTCAGTGTAACATGTCACTGTTGCATTTATTTAACTAATTTTTAACTAGTTTAGTTAACATGTTAGTTAACTAATTTTACTGTTATTTAACTAATTCCTGTCCATGTCATTTAACTAATCTTTATTAAGGGCCTTCTAAGTACCAGCACTGTTCTAGGAGTTTAGGATCCATCTAGTAACTTGAATCCATTTTCAATAGTGGCAGTTTATACCTGCAGTTAAAAAAAATATATATATATATATATATATATATATATCCTATACTTCCTTCTGTTCCTTATAGTTCATTATGTGAAGGATCTTTTTCTTTTTCTCTGCTATCATTAATGTTTCAAAAGTCTGTAAGCAGGACGCCCTAGACTTCTGTCATGTTTTTGAGTGAAATCTCTGTATTGCCCAGAGAGTTGTCTGTTTGGAAAAGGGGCTTCACTATATTCCCACTGCCTAGAACAGCAGTAAATGGTATGTGTCCAGTAAATATTTATGGGATGAATGAATGGTTTGGTCCCCCTTTTATTCATAGGAGTCTTCATTGCTGGATATGACCTAAGGGTCACTAAACTTCTCAAAATCATTATTACAGAAAAATTTTAAGAAAAGATTTCTCTTGCCTGAAACCCTGTCCTAGAATTCTCTTTCCCGGCCATAGGTGTAGCCTTCATAGAAAAAGGAGGAACATATAGCTACAGAAAGTGTTAAGAGTGAGATTGGGAGCCAGGCAAAGGGGCAGAGAGTGAGAGAGAGCCTGCACCTGCCTGGTCTCTCCTGCCAATGGTCACAAGGCAGGTGAGTTCCATGCTAGTTCTAGCAGAACCAAAACTATGGTTCCTGTACTTCATGGAAAACCAAGAAGGAAGATGTGAGGTTGTGATTCAGATAAATTTACCTAATCTGTTGTGTTCTTTTAGTAGATTGACTTTTAGTCTTTCCCCCAAACCCTTGTGAATAGCACTGTGACATCACTTGTCCCAAATGAATGTTGTCATTTGATCAGATGTGCAGATTTCTTTAGAGACCCTATATGCCATCAGTCTAACTTATTGCTCAAAGCTCTCATCCTTTGATTCTAGTCCACTTCTCCAAACTTACCTTTTCCACTCCGAAGAGTGGGCTTTCCACTCTGGCTAGATTAGTCACCTTCCTGTGCCCTGGACATCCTGAACACTTTTCCGTGTAGCCATTCCCCGGCCGGAGTTGCCTTCCTCAGCCGTGCTGCCATCAGAGCCTGTCATTGTGCCAGGAGGCTGCTGCCACCCCAGCTCGTCCGCATGTTGTCTCCTGATGGACTCACCTTGTATCACATGCGTTTGGCACATGTCCTCAGGTTTCACTCTGCTACCTTTTCCTTGGACTTGTTCTTAGTCACTCAGTCATGTCCACTCTCTATGACCCCATGGACTGTAGCCCACTTGGCTTCTCTGTCCATGGGATTCTCCAGGCAAGAATATGGTGTGGGTTGCCATTTCCTCTTCCAGGGGATCTTCCTGACCCAGGAATCAAATCCATGGTTCCTGCTTTGCAAGTGGATTCTTTACCTGCTGAACCATTACATGCACCCATATCTCCACTTGCCAGTTGGACTGTACACTCCTTAACAAGTGAGACCAATTCAAAAAGCCTTTTTGAGTCCTTTGGATCTGTACACAAAAAGATGCAATTCTTTATGGCTGCGGATGTTCCATCCAGGGATCTCAGACTTGGCTACATATCTGGGAATCACCTGGGAAGCTTTAAAAATGACTGATGCCCAGTTTCCACATCCAAGGTTCTGATTTAATTGGCTTTGAGTATGGGCTGAGCATCAGGGTTTTAATAGCTTCTCTTGTTGTTGTTCAGCCAAGGTTGGAAATCCTTTGTTCTGGAATGGGCATTCACTGTGTCAAATGATGAGATTTCCCCAAACACCTACAAATACTTGCAAATGTTTTGTTCTAAATATATATATATTTTTAACATTCATCTTCCACAGGGATAAAAGATGGTATATTAACAGCTTACTCTTTACCTGCAAGAAAAGTGATAGTGCACTTAATTGGGAACCCCAGGCAGTATATTGCAAATGATACTTTTTCCTTTTTAAAAGGAAAGTTGAGGTGCCCAGACTAAAAGGAAATTTAAGCACTAAGATTGTACTACTTTACATGAAAAGAAAGAAAACATATTAAAGGAAGAAAAATTTGAAATGGAACTGTCTTAGTTCAAGTTGCTGTGACAAAATTCCATAGACTGGATGCATTGTAAACAAAAGAAATTCATTTCTTGAGAAGTCCAAGATCAAAATGCCAGTAGGTCTGATGTCTGGTGAGAGCCCATTTTCTGGTTCTCAGATGGTTATTTTCTTGGTGGGTCCTCATATGGTAGAGAGAGAGAGAGAGAGAAAAAAAAAGAGAGTGAGAGAGAATGATAAGCTTTCTCAAGTCTATTCTTAACAAGGGCACTAATCTCATTCATGAAGGCTCCACCCTCAGGACTGATTGCCCTCAAAAGACCCCACCTCCAAATTCCATCACATCCGGGATTTAGCCTTCAGCATCTGACTTTGGGAGGATGTAAACATTCAGTCCATGGCAAGGAACCAGTGTTTTATAAGACTTGATAAAATCATTTCAAAGAACATCCTCAGGTATATTTTATTTCAAAGGATTTATGACCAAGTCCAGACTTTGGAAGAAAGAGAGCATAAAGTAAATAGTGGAGGCTAAAAATACCATTTATGTCTCTGGTTTAGAAGTGTTCTAATTTTAGTTAGTAGAAGAAACACTTATTCATGCATATTTCACTAATTTGTTATAACTTCATTTATACTGAGAGTCATCACTCATTCTTTGAGAAAAATTAATGAATAACTAATAATTAAATACATTTGATGTAGGAATAAAATCTACCAGTTTTGTAATCAGCCTAGTTGGATTCCTGGTTCTGCCACTTACTGTGTGTATTTGGGCAAGTTACTTAACCTGTCTGGATCTTAATTTCCTCATCTATAAAGTGGAGACAATGAGTGCCTTTCTCTTCGGGTAGTTGTGAAGATTAAAAGAGGTGATGCAAGGGAAGCACCTTTCTGAGTTCCTGTTTGTATAGTCGCTCAGTCGAGTCTGACTCTGCAACCCCGTGGACTGTAGCCCTCCAGGCTCCCCGGTCCATAGGGTTCTCCCAGGCAAGAGTACTGGAGTGGGTTGCCGTTTCCTTCTCCAGGGGGTCTTCCAACTCAGGAATCAAACCCCAGTCTCCTGCCTTGCAGGCAGATTCTGTACCGCTGAGCGACGTGGGAAATGCTTACTATTAATACTTACCAAGTGCCCCATGGTGTTAATGGTGGTGATTATCATAATGATAGCGGCGCAGTGATTCTGAAGATTTAACTCTTTGTTTTGAAGTACAAACTGAATTACTTTTCTGTGCATTAAAGCAGACTGAACGCTGATACCCTCAGAGTTGTTTTAGCTACTGTTTTGTTGTTTTTGTTGTTTTAAACTTCTTATTTTGAGGCTGCAATAGTATGATATATTCCTTTATATTATTTACCCATTTTTGAACATCATTTTGCCATGTTTGTTGTATTCTTTTCCTCCATCTCTTTCTCTACATGCACGCACACACACACACCCCCATATTTATTTATTTATTTATCCCAAATCTTTGGAGCAGACCACACACATCCCCCTTGTACTTCATTATGTGGTTCCTAAAAACAAGGATATCCTCATGTAACCACAGTACTGTCAGCAAATTCAGGACATTTAATACTTTGATTTAATCTGCACTGCATGTTCCAGTTTTGTCACTTGTTCCAATAATATTTTTTTCCCTCCAGGACAGCATCTAGCCTGAGACCACTTACTGTTTTTTCCTATCATGTCCATTTAGTCTCCTTTAATCTGGGACCGTTCCTCAGCCTTTCTTGTGTTTCTTGACAGTCTAGAAGCATGTAGGCAAGTTGCTTTTTAGAATAACCCTCACTTTGGGTTCCACAGGCTCTTCGTGATTAGACTGAGATTATGCACTTTGGGCTGGTTGTGTCCTCCTCGGTGAAATCACATCTGGAGACACGGGTGTCCGTCTGTCCCTTACTGGTGACCTTGATTCTGATCACTCGGTTAAGATGTCTGGTTTCTCTGCTGTATAATTAGCACGTGCTTTGTGTTACTGGGAAGTTCGAAGGAAGATTCTTTGAGATTCTGTGGGTGTCGCGGTCCTTCTCTAACTCCCTACCCCCTTTTATTGAGCAGCTATTGATGATACCTGTCTGATTCAATTTTTACTTTGAAGGTG